AGGTTGTAGCGCCACTGATTTTTATAATTAGCTTATAAGCGATATATATTGTTAACATAAACTTCAACACAGGAATAAGAAAAGTAAGATTGTGACGCTCGATGATAAATTTACCCATAAATAAATAATATTATCAGCGTTCGCAGCCATCATTTTCGTTGACCCACATGCTAGGTTGAAGTCATTATATGTTAAAAACAGTTGGTTTTAGCAAAAACGCATAGGAAACGCAATTAAAGCTTTTGAGATACAAATGGTGGGTTAGTTTACTGGTGTGAATAAATGATTTTTGACTTTGACTTGATCTGACAGACGATCTACCGGAAGGATGGAGATGAACAGCTCGTGAAAGAGACGAGTGGAAACAACAAGGGGAGGCCTATGTCGAAAGACAACATGACCAACTGGTTGCTGATAACTGTTGTGCTATAAAAATATATAGTTAAAATATATGTTATAGCTTAGGATAAAATGGTGTAAATATATGTATTTGGTTAGTGAATAAAGGTTTATTATATTATTATTACCGGTACAATAAAGAAGTAAAATACTAAACTAAAACAGGAAAATCTTTGAGTTTTCTAATAAGTAGTATTGGTAACAAATTTCATATGCCTTCCCTAATCTTTTAAACTAAACAAATTAGTACAATATCCTTTCTAGGAACAGTACTTAATAATTCGTTTCAAATACAAAAAAGAGCTTCTTTGGCGTTTATTTTCTCGCGCCCAACTGTTAGCAGTAAATCTGTTCCCAGACCCAATAACGCCAAAATTGATAAGATTACCGCCCCCCACTGATTACTACTTGAAACCTTATATTACCAGAGAATTGGTATATATTACGTGACAATATCTCCTCATCGCTTCAAGCGTTCTAACGCATAAACAGCGCTTAAGGTTTCATCTCGAATATATCTGAAATTTAGGTCGTACCGCCTACATAGTTTAGTGGTTAAAGCACCAGAAGAGCCTTAATTCAATTCCCGGCGTAACTATCTGAAACAGAAAAAAAACATGGTGATTAAAAAGAGTGGTGGAGAGTTTATTACCAGTTCTTCTTTTCCGTTCTACGCCCTTGATTTGAGAACTGGCACTAAATGTAAAATTAGAAGCATTAATATGTATTTCTTTACTGACAAGTCATAAGTGTACAATGTGCTACCTATATGATTAAAAGATTTTTTAATTTTTTTTTTGAATTTTTGAGAAATCATGTCTTAAAAAATCTATATGGAGCACAATAATTTGTACATAATAATTTATTTATTTATTTGTTTATTTATTTCATAATCCTACAGCTAACATAAATTATATATAATAACAAACAGTTACACTGAAAATATAGCCAGAAATGGAATACATAAATACATTTTACTACAAAAAGGTTCAAAAATTTACAAAATCAAACAAACAAAAAAAAATTATTCAATACATTCAACTAAATAATACCTAATTTGGCTGTGTTGTGTGATGGTGTAAAAGTGAGGGTAAGTACTTGAAGGTGTGTGTTGGGGTGTGTTGGAATATAATAGGAAAGGTATGTGACAAGTTTTCAGCTTGCCTCAAATACCTGCCCAAAAAATTGGTGCCAGCTCTCGGACCATGAAACAAGGCACGATTACGAGTCTGGTAGGCAGGAGCAAGGAAGGGTAATTTTTCTAGAAGGGAGCTGCAATTAATTTTATTTGAGATGATGTCATGCAATAAATCATATTGTTTTCGTCGAGAGTCTAAAGTATTGATTTTAAAATGTTCACAAATTTATCAAAAAATAAATACTAAAAATATTTTTACGCTAGTCACATAGCATAAAATTGTCGACAATAACTTAAGATGCTGGTAAATAATCCTTCAAATGACAATCAACACTTTAAAAACATGATAATAAATTTAGTTGCCTTTTAAGTAAAGTCTCTGGGGGCGTGGGGTTGTCGGGCAAATGCACAGTAATGTAATTAAAGATTTAAATTGGCGCCTGATAGATAGTACCGGTGACCTCAGAGCTGGTGCTTTCCTCACTTAACGAACAAGTATTGCAATACAGCGAGGAAATGCAGCCAGCATTAAAGGTGCCACGGGGACCAAACTTTTTATATTTGCTTTCGTAATTTTGTTTAGGTTCCATAGTCACTAATATACCATTAGTTCCGACTATCATGGCACATAATGCTCAAAAACTATGAAATATTTAGTTTTAAAGCAACGCATTACTTAGGGCCAGTCAGTTCTTATACTACCCTTTAGGTCGAAGGTACATAAGCACCTTCCTTTCTCGACCCACAGACAACAAAAACTTTAGCGTTAACATGCACTATTATAAATGATAAATAAATTATTTATTTTCTGTAAGTAGGTTTGTACAAACACTTTTACACGTCAAGCATATTTTTTTTTAAACTAGATGAGTTCGACGTTTCCTATCTGACTACTCTGAGAAGAAACGCCGAAACAAACTCAGAGGTCACAGTCTCTTTTAAAGTCCAGACATAACAAGATTATTATATTAAGTGTAAGAGTTCGATTTCTCAATTCAATTTTGGTTTCAAAGTATTACAAAGTAAAATTAAGAAGCCCAAATTGCTAGTATATCGTAAGCATTAAAACCGCGCGTTGCAATTGTTACAACTAATAATGGTTGCACTTACTAAAGAACAACAGTTCTATAAAGTTATAATGGACTATGTATCTCTTTGTTTTCGTGTTTTACGCTCGTTTCACTATAAGAGTAGTTTAAGCGTAATTTTGTGATCCTATATCCTACTCAAAGGATATATTATACTAGTAAAATATAATGTTGTATATATTACTAAAAATACATCAAAAGTATGTATGAAATGTCGCTAGTGTGGTATTCTAAGAGAAGTTTTTTTTAAATAAATTATATACTTATTTATTTAAACCTAAATATAACAATCACATATACAGTATTCACAATGATCTTAACCTACTAATAATAAAAATGAATAAAAAGACAATTAAAACAAATTTAAAAAGTTTCGTCCCTGTGGCAGTGTACCTTTAATGCTGGCAGCATTTCCTCGCTGTATTGCGATACTCGTTGAGCGAGGAAAGCACCAGCTCTGGGGTCACCGGTACTATCAACCAGGCGCCAACTTAAATCTGTAATTAGAGCCTGTGCACTTGAACCTCTTATTTACTGTATTACTGTATTGAACGCTTTAAAGAAAGCTAATATAGTATGTGTCAACAATAATCTAAATATATAAAACAAAGTCGTGTTAGTTACACCACTTATAACTCAAGATCGGCAGGATCGATGTTAGTTATCCCTTTTTATGGTGAATTCTTCTCCTCTCCGAATAGCAGAATAAGTAATAAAATATCAGATAAGTTATCGAATAACAATAAATTAATTAATTAATTTTACGATTTCAAATAGCATGTGGTGCCATCTGTTGACAAAACTACGCATCATTTTACGTCAAATTCGTGTCAGTTCAAGAAATTCCAATCTTGAGGTAAATGAGGAGATGCATGAGCAGGCTTTGATCTTGATCGAAGACCTTACCTTACCTCAACAAAAAATGATGTACATATATCAGAAAGTGCTTTACCATGCAGAATCGCAATATTGGCGCTAGAGAGAAGAGGCCTAATGTGTAAAACTGACATTCTTCTTTCGCAATGGCAAGAAATAAAACATTTCTGTATTTTCAAAAAAAGTTGTATTAATGTACCTTAATGAAATCTTAAATAAATCTAACTAAAGTAACAACGATATTATTAGACTGTAAGGCGGAACGAAGTAAACCGGGTCAGCTAGTGATTAAATAAAACACAATAACAGTGATGTTCAACCTATAAACATATTGGGCACGTACTTGCGAGCCGCCTATCCATTTGAATGTTCTATAAAAAAATCAATGATGAAGCAGACAATATGATCAAACTATTTCTTTAAATCTATCAAGAAGAAATATTAAAATGTCTTTGGACACTTATGGGGTTGCCCATTGCGTAAATATCTAATTTCAACGATATACTACACATAGTTTTAGAATATATTTATTTCTACGAATTTTTGTCATACGTACCTTTAAGGACCAAAGGAAAGGAGAAGAGAGCGCCCCAAAAAATTGTGGATAGAAAGAGAAGCGATAGCAGAAGCGAATGGAGAAATAAATCCATATTTGGAAAAAGCTGTAGGACGCCTGTACCGGGAATGAGTTCCGATCAATGGTCCTGAACAAAGTTAGGATTTTAGGGTAAGCTGTATATTCTACTTTTGAAACGATTGGAAATAAATGGGCTACAAACGGTAGTGACATATTAGGACTTTAGATGGCAATTCTGTCGCATAACGTCTTGTGCAGTAAATGCGGATTTTTTATTTATTTATTAGCATTTATGTATAAATATTAATGCGATATTGAAATTGGTAGGCCGTCAGACGTTACACTGGCGCCATCTTGTTTTAGTAATCCCGCTTGAAACCTTTTGCCTACAAAAACCTACATATTTAAAATCTTGTTACGTAATTCCACTAGCACAGAAATTATGAAAAATTCATATTGGTGTTTTACGAAATAATACTGAGAATCCTTTTATCAAGCCCCGGGCTTTTTTTAAACAAGGCAAACATTGTTCACTTTAAAAATATAAAAGAATATCCCGTATACAGGTTTTAACTTTCGCAAATACAAAAATATAGCTAGGTATTGACTGTGAGTTTGCTCGAATGCTACTCCCTTATTTCGTTTACTTAACCTAAAGAGATTAAATAACGAAAAACTAAATTTCTCAGTGCTTGTGAGACTAATATAGAAACGTTGGTACAGTGGTTTGAAAGCCTTAACCGAGGTCGTGTTTTCATATCTTGGCTGTGCCTCAATTATTATTATTGTGAATACGCTAAAAATATTGGATTCACTCCAAAACTGTCTTGTTTTGCTAATTATCTGAGAGATCGCCAGCACTATAGACACTAAATCAGGCGTGAGTCAGGGCAGCAATCTAGGGCCATTGCAGTTTGCAATAATGGTGAACGATTTACCAGAAGTAATAAGAGTTGCTAGATGCCTTCTTTTTGCGGACGATCTAAAATTACTCCTGTCAATCCAAGAAGTGGACGACTGTAAACGCTTGCAAGAAAATATAGATAGAGTATGTGAGTGAAGCAATGTGCCATGGTGACATTTAATCGCGCCAAATTGCCTCGTCATCATGCGTAACGTATCTCGTGTCTGTATTATTATTATTATATGTGTTTAATATTATATAGGTACTTTAATATATTTTATTTAATGTTTCTCGACATTATCGTATTGGCGTAGTCTGTAAGGATAATGTATGTATTTCTGTAATAAATAAATAAATTTTGAGGAAACCTCTTAGACAAAAGATCCAAAAATTGTCGACAATGATTCTTTCGACGCCTTCAACCCATTTGGGTTGTTTGACCACTATATTATTATAGTAGGAAACATAATATACTCTCAAAACGACAATTCTCTTTAAAGTCCATATTTATAATTTTTATGTTAAATAATATAGTGTATAGCTCTCAGGGAAAGATTCAAAGAGTGTTATCAATAAGTATTTTTTTTTATATAATAGGGGGGCAAATAAGCCTACGCCCATTTTTTGTGGGTGCGTTGCCCTATAACCGTATAACTCCATTGTGTCTATACCATATTGCATTAAGACTATTTATAGTTCGTGCTAAGTTTCTACTCTAAAAGTGACCTCGGGAGCTTAAGTATGTAGTATTGACAGTACATACAAAATTAGACAAAGTATTCACTTTAACAGGCTTTTTGGCATTAGAGTTAGTAAAAGCTTTTTAAAAACGCCTTTGGGGAAAATGTAGGCGTTTGCTCCTAACCTTTTTGCTCCCGACCGGACAGTTCAATCTTTTTTCTATTGGAATGGAATCTCGCCTCGGCCTTAAAGGCCTTTCCAGCTCAGCTTGAGACTGTTTTGGCAAGCTTTTTATAAATTTGACGAATACTTATATGATCTAATCCTTGGGACGGATTTGCTCCAGTTCAAACAATTTGTATGACTCAAAACTTAGCAATTAAAAAGAGTGGCGGAAAGTTTCTTGCCAGTTCTTCTTACCCGCTCTACGCCCTTGATTTGCGAACTGGTAGTAAATGTAAATTTACAATTAATGTAACTTTTTTTTGACGTTCAAAAGTGTACTTGTTTACCTATATATGAATAAAGATATTTTGAGTTTGGACGACTCCTGCGAGACTCGGTCCTCGGATTGGGTGTCGTGTGGTAGCTCACTGGAGTGAGTGAAGTACGAAGTAAAGCTCCATGGCGGTTTGATTATTATTTGCCGCGCTAGGTTCTAACTAGGTTCTTTTCTGTATTTATGTTTATTTTTTTAGTCCTCTATTGATATAGAACAAATAAGATTAGTCACTGATGCTGGTCATATATACCATATTTTAGACGACGAAGAAAAGGAATATAGAATAATCGACCACTAACTCCTGTATCAACTTCACCAGAGGACATCGAAGCTTTAACACCATCACACTTCATTCTTGGTGGTCCAGCAAGGGTTCCATAACCCGGGAGTTTTGCTGTCGCTGACTTAAATCACGGGCGTACACAACGGTTGGCAGAAATTTTTTGGTCACGCTGGACTAAATAATATTTATTTAACGTTTTAGAGTCTCGTCGGGACTCTCAGGTCGAGGGAAGATCCCAGAGCTGGGAGATCTGGTGCTCGTGGTGGACGGAACCCTGCCCAGAAATTCGTGGCCTAATGGAAAGGTCGTTGCGACTTCCCGGGCGAAGATGGCGTCACTCGCGTGGTCGAGGTGCAGACTAAGGCTGGAATTTTCAAGACCAACCAAGAAGATCTGCTGCTGACGGAGAGAGCGCAAGACGCACTGGGGGGAGAATGTGTACGATGAAATTGTTATTTGTTTCGTTTGCTATTATCACGAGTAAATTATTGTAGTATTTTTTGTAGAAAAATCTTCGCAAACATTTGGACATAGAATACAGACGAAAGTAAGTTTTATACAAAAAGTTATTTTTTTAATTTGTATTAGTAAAACACACAGCGATATATATCTCCGTAATTACATTTCAGGAGTTATATGAATAAATAATTGTTATTAAACAGCCTTGTTTTTCGATTAAAGCCAACAACGCACTCGCGAGCCCTCTGGCATGGGCGACGGTATCACTAAACATCAGGTTAAGCCTGTTTTATAAATGAAATATTCCTTGGCGTTTTATGATTACTTTCAATATATAGGAGAAATAAAACATAGTAATGTACTAAACATTTAATTGCATCTAACAACAAAATTCAATGTGTACAACATCTAACATTAATTTAAATGATAAACCGTACTCAGAGTCCTCCATTAATAGTAAGTTAGTAGAGATTGAAGCTAAAATCTCTTTCATGACCCTATAGTTCCTTTAATCACGCCTTAAAACCAAACATTAAATACTATTACTTACATGAATGACTCTAAGTACAACTCTAAAGTGTTAACGGATATAAAAGTGGGAATCTACTGAGGTAAAATTTTATATTGATTAATTATTGCTAAATCTCACTTTAAGAATTTATATAGAACTAATGGACCCCACAGACGTTGTCCTGCATGATATTTAAAGCGATTAGGATATTAAGCAAAGTATGAAAGTACCGACTGCAGTGCCATCTGCCGGGCTGATTTGTGAATCTAAACCATTTCCAGATCCCCTTGAACACACACAAAAAATTTCATCAAAATCGGTCCAGTCGTTTAGGAGGAGTTCAGTCACATACACACGCACACAAGAAATATATATATTAAGATAGTTTTAGTAACTTGAAGTAGTTCGTGCATGGCCATACAGTTTTCACTGTATGCCAAAAAAAATGTATCCCTTAAATAACTTATTCTACCGAGAGCTTTAGCTACTAAAAGTTTTACCTATTCAGTAGGCCTAGCATAAACTTTTTACGAATGTATCGAGTGTCCGATACGAAGACGTGCTCGATATAGAAACGTTAGTTGTACTTACACAACGGTCTATCGTATTCATACTTATGTTTTTTAGTTACAAATAACCACGTTGCTTAAGTACAATTATAATAATAAATTATATACATATATAAAAATTAAACTATAATATCAATCACTTTTTCATAAGATAAACTTCGTTTCAGATGTATGTAGTAAACTATATTAGAAACACTAAGTGACATTCAGAAACTTAACGCGAGCAAGTCAATACATTTATGAGAATATTTTGTATGTGCGGAAAAATATAGATATCTTTAAAAAGAATAGTAGCTTCCATAATTATAGTACTCGTAATAAAGACAAAATTAGCGCACCAACCAGAAGGCTGCATAAAACGAGTAATTCTTTCCAAGGCAATTGTATACGTTTTTTCAACAAAATCCCTAGTGAGATACAAGCGTTGTCAATAAATAAATTTAAATCGTACATTAAAGTAAAACTGCTTGCTAAGGCTTATTTAATATAAATGAATATTTAAACGATCCTAGTGCTTGGATATGAGTTGCTCCAGGATATGTAGGTAACACGACTGAATCTCTCGGCTGCATTTCCCGACTCTGGGGCGATCGTCAACATCCACGACTGTTTTAATGTACGAAACAATCATCCTTATTAAGAACACATATTTTTTTGTAAACAGATAATGCTCTGTACCTGCCAATAGCAATTACGACTATCGACATCAGCGCTACGTATATTGAGGGAACTACATCGGAGTATCGTACAAATAAATCGCTGCCGGAATAGCTATCACTATTAAAATTACAGACTAGTACTAGACTAGACTAGTACTAGACTAGACTAGTACTAGACTAGACTAGTACTAGTACAGTGCTAGTACAGTGCTAGTATGTCAAAAGGCTCACAAGTATGGTGTCTAATTAATAAAGTTACGTTTTTAGACTTCTCGTACGGAAACGAGAAATCTCATGCTGGGCACACAGTCAACTATATGTACATATATTTCAAAATCTTAGCAGCATTATAACGCTAGAGAGCGTGTTTTGCCTTCGTGTCAGAAGGGGTTCACTCTTTGCTTGAAATTACAAGTCGAGTTGGAGATCATTAACCACAAACCAAAATATACCTTAGTAACGTCATTATAGAACAATCTTCATAATATTTATTTTCTAAATTAATTTTATTTATTAAATATTATAAAACGTTCTCCTCCACTACAAACAATTCGATAATACAGTCAAGATATAAGATATATGAAATACATTGTCTATGCCTATGTTTCTATGACAGTTCTTTCGATACAAAAATTAAGGTTTTAGATGTGAGCTAGACAGCTGGGAAATGTTTGAAGTAAATGGGCAAAACAGCCACATTTTTTCATCGTCCACTGCTAATGATAATTTTTAAGATAAATTTATATATAGACATAACCAGGAGCGGATCTACTTAAGGGCTGCATCCCAGGGCACCGTGGATACAATGGGCCCCACTGAAAACAAAAGCAGATATTTCTGATTTAAAAAAAAACTGAAATTTAAAATTATACGGTTGTTATTCCTGAGATCAATCAACCCATGTGCGATGCGCGTCTATCGAAAGGAACGGGGAATTCCCCGTCACTTGTTTTCGGTCGGTGTATTTTTTCGCGCGTGCGTCTTTACGGGGAAGTCCTCCGTAATAGCCCAGAGCCCCACAAATTCACGATCCGTCCAAGGACATAACCGTGAAGGTATTATTAACGTGAGTTTGAATATCCTACATACATTAAACCATTTCATAAGATGTTAGTAGACAACAAATAGACATGACATTTCTAATTATTTTCAAAATAATTTAAAATTTAGCGTTTCGTGTTTTAATGCACAATAATTCGTTACCATACGCCGAAAATAAGACATTCATCCTGAAATAATTTAGAACAGAAAACAAAAACTTCGTTTATTCAAATAATACAATTTATATTTTGTTGAGCTGTCAAATTGTAATCGCCGATTGATTTTGACATCACAGCTACAGATTTAAAAAATTACTATGGAATATAAGAAAATTATTATTTAGAAATAATTTATATGGAAGTATATAACACTCAGGGCCGTTTGTGACAGATCCTCAGAGATATCGCCATTCGTCTATAATTGCCAGATTTTTCTTTGCACATAGAAAATTATTGCGCCTTTTTTCTTTGGTATTATTCAAATGTCATGACCGTAGATATTTCCAAGGAGTATAGCGAGGCTTACTTAATATTTTGTGATTCTACGAAAGACTAGCCGGTATGGTCGAAAGACTATAGCCTGCGCCATGGGCGAAAAGAAAAACAAAATATTTTGTGAATTTTAGTATTAACATTGTTTAATAATTCCCTAAGAGCAGTGTTGCCCTAATGGCTTCAGCAAGCGACTCTCATCCCTGAGGTCGTAGTTCCAGCCCCGATTTATTTGTATGTGCGCATTTAACATTCACTCGAACGACGAAGGAAAACATCGTGAGGAAACCTTGCGGAGGCGGCTTGACTTAGACCTAAAAAGTCGTCGGCGTGTGTCAGACTTGACTTAGATTGACATATGAAACACATACAGAAATCTGAGGCCCGGACCTAAAAAGGTTATAGCGTCACTGATTTATTAATTTAATGATTTTCTATGGAATATTTTGACATTTTTTATTTAAAAAGTTTTGATTATTATAGCAGAGCAGTGTTGGCCTAGCGCCTTGAGCGAAACTCTCAATGGCGTTGACTCATAGAACCGATTTTCCTTGAATGGTGAAGGAAAACAAGAAGTTCCGATCTGCTTCGCATCGCACATTCTTGCGATATTACGTCATCCTTGGTGACGCCATTTTAGTCCGCTCTGAGACAGCTTTAGAGGAAGACGCGCGGCGCCTCCACCGCCTTCTTTGTTTATAAAAAATTGCGGAATATGATATGGATTTTTTAATATTTTTAATTGAGGAGCGTCCCGTCTTTTGGGACACAAGTTATGAACATTATAAAAATAAATCTATTAAGCAAGATGCGTGGAAGAGCGTCTGTGCAAGTTTGCATCAGAGTTCATAATCGTAATAAATGGATGAACCCAGAATCTTCTTTTTCTTTTATATCTATTTAACAATAACAGCAGTGCAATAATCTTTTGCGATCCATCTTACGCTTCCTAAAAACACGTCCAGTACGGCTGACTACGAAGGAATGGTCGCCCTACCAAACGGTTTGCCGCACTATATCGTATCGCAGAAATTCGCATCGCAGTTTTGTGTGGGAGTCCTAAGCGTGATAAATTCTAAACGAATAAAATACATTTATTATTGTTACAGTCATCGCAAAATATTTCGCCAAAATAAATTAATGAGAGCGAAACTCCAGGCGGAAAAAACCAGCGACGCAGGTACCTTTTAGGTCCCTCAGATTTCTGTCTTGTGATCGTATGATTTTTCTAATAGGCTAGTATGATATCAATACTCTGTGCCTCACGATGTTCATACCATACGAGTGAGTATTAAATGCGCACGTGAAAGTCCATCGGTGCACAGCTGGGGTTCGAACAACGACCTCAGGGATGGGATTCGCACGCTGAAGCCAAACTAGCTCTGCTCGAGCCGGGCGGAAAATAGTTCATACACTAAAAGAAATGAAGACACAGGCTACTTAGTAAGTGTATTTAATATGTCAGCAAATTGTACTTTCAAAATTATAAATTCATGCACGTAACCATATTGGACCACTTATGATACTTTACAAACAACGCAATGTGCAAATAACGGGACTTCCCTCTTAACGACACTTGTCTATGGTTAGCGATTGTCGTTATGCGTTGCCGTTATTGTAACGAATTTCTGACGCAGTCTGAAAACGACGCCATACGCTGCATATGTGTAATGCAATGTTTTTATTTATATACATAAAAAAACAAATTCTTAATTTAAAAACTGATATACTAAAAATATTATATTCATAATACCTCTTTCATATCTTCTTTAATCAAATATATTTTCATGTTTTATAATTTCGAAGACTATCACAATTTTACAATTTTACCACCCATGAATACTCTAACAATGTACAATTCGTACAATATTATTATATGATTATTAATTGTAAATTATAATAATTCAAAAGGTATCCAGTTATGTAAAGTCAAAGACATTTTTTTTATTTTACAAGAAATGTGAAACGAAAATGGCAGTGCTTAACAAAATTCTTAAATTGTGCATAAAACGAAATATCACTTTATAACTATTTAAAATCTATAATTATTTAGTAGAATATTGCTTATAATTGTCGTAAAACCCGTTTTTAGCATTTTAATTTCTAAAACAGTCATGAAAACTTCACAGAACAGAAGAAAATATTTCTTTGTAAATACGTCTTAGGGAAAGATTTAGATTCGACTTAGCGCTAAGTACGACTCTCGTATGTCAAAAACGTATACACATAGTTTGCGCTAAGTCTCGGCTAAATCTTACGCTTAGACACAGATTAACTTACATTTTCATTAAGAATCTATAATATCTATTCATAAGCGTATTGGGAGTTTCTTCATAAAAGTATTCTAAAAATAACTCTTCTTGTTATTCAAACCTGGGAACGTTTCCAAAAGCGCGCCTGTAAAGGAATTTATTTTTATTCACAATTCTTTGATGCTTTTAACATGCAGACAATAGGGTTTAAAACCATTCATGGTCTTGTAAATATCGGACAAACAAGTATATTTTTATCATACCAAAAGGTTTAGACTATTACTAGTACAGCTTATTCATAAAAAAATATCTATATTTAATTTTAACTATATCTCTTTTCATCACAGAGTTAACACAATTTGACAGATAGAGATGAAAGACGACTTTTATGGGTGAAATTTGACCGATATAGTTTTTATGAATTACGCTTTGGTTTACGCGATTGTCTTGATAAACAAGGGTACACTTAAGGCACTTTTGAAAGAGGCATTACAATTTACAATGGCAACATTTTGACAATCATATCAAGTAATTACACGTCACCTTAATATGTACCAATGGGTGGGTTGTATTCTATTAAATCCTAATTTATAAATGAAATACATACCCGGGCAATCAAGCGTTAGAATTGACTCTGTGTCGGTGTTCCATCAAATGACTCTTCGTTAATGAGACGCAATTTCACCGACTCGCGTCTCAAATTGTAACTGGTTGAAATATGGCAATGTTTCACATCAACCGTCAAAAGGTCCTCATTCAACTCGACTCCGCTCTTTTCAACATCCGCCGCGGCACTTGGCTTCCTTTTATGTCTAAATGAAGTGCCTCTTTGCGAGCTCGAACCCATAAAGCTATCTGTTGTCGTGTTCCCGTTAAAGGTTTTCTCTGATTGGCACGCCCCTAATTGCTGCAAAGGAATACCAGCTCGCAGTTGCGCCGATGTATCTATGCACGGTATCAATTGTTTGAACTCTTTTCTAAAGTTCTCGTTCATCCACGCGTAGATAAACGGGTTGTAACACGTAGACGACATCGCTATAACGTGACACATGAAGAATATGAGAAAATAAAATCTCGAATGTATGGCGTATATATAATAATCGTTATATAGATTTGTGATGTTCAAAGGGAGCCAAGATAAGCCGAAAATGGTAACCATTGCGATAAGCATCTGATTGGTTCTTCGTTTTCTATTCTTATCGAATTCCTCTTTTCTCGTATTTTTGCTCGCCGCTTTCGCTTTCGCTCTGTCGTTCAATTTGAAACTGACGCATGTGTAACAGAACGCAATCACTGTGAATGGCAAGACAAATTGGAGAATAGAGGTCGCTGAACCAAATATACGTCTAAGATCCTCGGACGGCCACGTCTCTTCACAGAATCTACCTATATCTAAATCGTAATAAGTCATATAAATCGCGTACGGTAGTGTAACGGTTACTGAAAAAGTCCATATCATAACTATTACTGTAATACAAGTCTCAATCTTCATTCTCGGTCGAAAAGGATATATGATTACAAAAAACCTATCAATAGCTATAGACATAAGAGTAAGAGTCGATATGTATACGCTGCAACCCTGTGCAGAAGGCATCATGTGGCATAGTAGCGATCCCCAACTCCAGGAACCACGGAACGAATATAGTGGAGTGAAAGGGACAGCGAATAGACAAAGTAGTATGTCAGAGAGAGCTAGATTAGTTATAAACAGATTTGTAACAGTTTGCATGGCACGGTTTCGTATCACAACGAAGCAGACCAGCACATTGCCGAGTAGACCTAACACGAAAATAATAGTGTAAATGATGCAGAAAGCGGTCTGGACCCATTTGTTGTCGATAATATTCTCGTAGCCATGAATGTGGTGGTTCGGGGATACGTCTTGGCTCTCATTCCGAAATTTTTCCGTGACATTAAGTGCAGTATAGTTCAGTGTTCCGTTCATTCTCAATTGGGGTAATTCCAGTTGTTAAACTTGTTCGGAGCTGTCAAGTTTACGAGCTGTATTAACCGTTGTACCTGTAACAAAATATATATTTTAATGTTTGTTTCGCGGCCCCGGAGAATAAAGGTTTTACGCTGGTGAAAAATAACAGAACAACCTTGTACTAAATAGCTTTATTACTTAATGTACACTGTCCTATTTATCACTTGTAAAAGCGAGGAAAGCTTTAATATAAAACTTTAAATGATAATGGAGTTATACATTAATTAAACAATCTATATCTAATAAAAATCGTTGTTAGTTCTGCTAGCCTCTTTGTTTTCATGACAAATTTGAATTCGACATACAGAAATACAAAACTAAAAGAATACATGCATTTATTTTCTTTACTAGATCATGATTGTAATTTTTCATAAACTTGAGAAAGTATTAAATCAATATTTTTATCAAAACAAGTACAAGACACCAAGAATTTTCATACGAATGAAGGTACCAAAAACTGTATTCTAAACTTTATCTAATATATAAAATTCTCGTGTCGCGGTGTTTGCGGTTAAACTCCTCCGAAACGGCTTGACCGATTCTCATGAAATTTTGTGTGCATATTGGGTATGTCTGAGAATCGGACAACATCTATTTTTCATCCGCCTAAATGTTAAGGGTAGTCCACGCCTAAATTTTATTTTATATTTTTTAGAGTTTTTATTTTTTTGATACAGCATTAAAAAATACATACAACCTTAAATTTCCAACCCTCTACGATCAACCCCTATTCCTTAAAAGTTTCCTAAAAAATACATACATGGCAAAACGACGTTTGCCGGATCAGCTAGTATTTATATATTTATAAATAGTATTTTATATATATTCATATATATTTTTTTAAATACATGTGTATTTACTTAGTCATCATGGAAAATAACGATCTAGCCTAACTTAAGACTTATAAGTAATTTAAGTCTAACCTAATTTACTTATAAGGATATTGACATAAGAAAGTGCCAAACTACTTACAGTATTACATTCTCTAATAAATGTAACTACAATACAATATAATATATAACGTAACATTCGCTATGTTTTGGTTAAAATATTCAACAAATAACTGCTAAGAAAGAAGCCTAAATTGCCGATGTATATGTTTCATTGACATAAATAAATAGATAATATGAATAAATGTAATGTTCGTATCAGACAAGGACTTTCGCGTAATTGGTTGTTCACTTTCATTAAACCCAGGCCGGGGTTGACACATTATGAACCAAGTAAGAGTTTTGAAGGTTAATTTTTAATAGAATATATTTAAAATTATTTAGGTCTCGTAACGATAAAACCCAGCCCTACATTTATTTATTTATACTTTCTTACCTTATACAAAAACATAAATAAGTTATAAGGCAACGGGTGGCCTTATCGCGAACAAGCGATTTCTTCCAGGCAACCCTAATGTGGAACAATAAAAAAAGAAACACCTACAAAGGGTAAAGTACAAGAAGTGCATATAGAATTAACAAAAAAAAACTCAAAATAACACGTAACTATAATTAAAATAAAGTAAAATCTAAAAAATTATAAAAATAATAATAAATAAAAAAAAGGTATAAACAAAAGATTTAAATGCCAATCAAAAGGTTAACTGAGTCACAATAATTATTATACATATAAGTAGTAGCTAATTACAAGGCAGAAAAAAAAAGATCAAAAAGAAGCTTTTTAAATAAATTTAAAGACTGAGCTCGTCTGATCAACACTATACGCGAATAGCGAACCCATGAACTACGTTGGCTGGGCGACCTTGAAGGTATGTTCTAAGATCGGGCGGTGAAGAAAGCTTATCTGAGCTGGCCTAGTGGTCGGAGCTTAATTACTTAAGATGTCATGTGGAAGATGGTGTAATGGTTGCAGCTCCTTACAAACGTTGTGTAAAAAAAACATGGCGATTAAAAAGAGTGGCGGAGAGTTTATTGCCAGATCTTCTCTTCCGTTCTACGCCCTTGATTTGAGAACTGGTTGTGAAATGTAAAGTTAAAAGCATTTCATATACATTTATTTTTTTTGACGATCATTTTGTTACCTATATGATTAAATGGTTTTTGAATTTGAATTTTGAGACCAGCACCCGAAGTACTGCTGGATCGACAGAGTGGACGAGGATCTGCGGCAGGTGCAAACCTATCAATTGGCAGGAAGTGGCACAGGACAGAGACTGCTGGAAGTTTCTCGCTTCGGAAGACACATTTTGGGTCGCAGAGCCAGCAGTGGGAAAGGAATATATATTTTATTAATGTGATGATGTAGTGATAAAATAATATTAGATTTGACTATAATTATATGACTCATAATGTAATTGTAACTTCTATTCAAGTAAGACAAAGTTTCACGCCATTATGTGTGGCAGAATATGCTTTGTTTAGATTGTACCACCATAACATTTTCGTACCATATTCTTGCAAATAAATTATTATTAAAAATATTTATATTAGAGGCTAGTTTTTCCCAGTTAAAGTTGCACAATTAAACTTGTTACTATGAAACATGTCTTCGCTAGCGGGCACTGAGGTCGTAGTGGGGACACGTCGTCATTTACCATTGGGTACAATTCTATTCCATTGTCAGTATTCGCGAACGGTAAGTAGTACGAAGGGTGGGATTTTTTTTGAATTGGTATAAAATTAACTGAAACTGTTCTTTATATTATATATTTTATTTAAGTTTATACATTAACTATTATATTTACTAAATAATAAGAAAAATATTATTCTTCGAAGGTTTCGTTTAATTTTTCTTATCATAATTGAAAATTGGGAAAAGGGACACGAATGGTAATGAGGTTTTGGGACCAAATTTTTTTATAATATGGCTTATAGCTTATAAAACACAATAAATTAATCTGCAATATGTACCCCACCTAATTAACTATCTATATAAAAAAGTAATCAAAATCGATTTAGGTTTAATGTGTTATTCACAGCGAGACATCAAAAAAGTACGTTTTTAAATATTCACCCGTATATAATATGTTTTCTGATATTCTACAAAACATAATGTGTAATAAACTTAACACGAAAGACACATTCGTTGTGCAAATCGAAACATACACTAAATTAGCAAATAAACTCTAATAAATTAAATGCAGTCTAACAAAACTGAATTAAACAAACTTGGCACAATACGTAACACTAACAAGTTCATCTTTTGTGTGATGCCGAGGTAAGTTTTTTTTTTTTTTTTTCGTGGGGAAATGCGTTAAGCATACCCTCCCGCGGCACGGTTGACCTTGGGGGAAGGGTTATGTGGGACTCGCACAACAGTGCATACCCACTAAAACCCCACGGCGCCACCAGCAATCGCCCGGGGCAGGACACGGTAACAGCGTGGCCTTGTCCGCATCCAGCCACGCGATCAGCCGTTAGTATCACGGTCCTCTACGGCCACGAATGATGTGGAATGGACCTTGGCACAGCAAGGGCCTTTCACATCGGCCAAGTCACCCTGTTTATAAGGCTGGGGGAGGTCGGGCACGATGCTTGCAGGGATGCGTCAGCATCCCTTCTTTTCGACGCATGGACCCCTGTTCCCCCGCTGGAGCAACTGCGTGCCCAGGATTACACACGGGGTTGCACGGTGCAACGGCGGCGCTGTGGTCTCCTACGGCGACGCGGGTGGGCTGCAGGATCATCCTCCCTGGCCCTTTCCGCCTCTTCCTTTTTGTGCATGACGGCTTCACAGAATCTCTGGAAGATTTCCCACATGCCGTCACTGTCCGTGTTTGTAACTGCTACTCTCACAATGTTATCGAGGGTAGCGTCCTCGCCCTGTAGCACGCCCAGTAGAGGCCTCCTTTCCACCTCCCATGCTAGGCAATCCTTTAAGGTGTGGAGCGCATCATCAACAACACCAGCGTCACAATGGTGGCAGGTTGGTGCCTCCTCACGCCCGACTACCTTGTGCAGATAGCTGCCGAGGTAAGTAGGACGACTGTTGGTAACTTTGATATTATGCACAGCAATATTTATACTTATTAAAACTTTTAATGTATTAAATACCTCTTTTCTATTGTTTGTGTCGTTTTTGTGAAGAGGGGCAAACCGACCGTTGTAACGTTATGCCCATGAACACTTACACTGCCAGAAAGCTTTCAAGATGCCGGGCTTTTAGAAATTGGTACGGAATTACTTGGGCAGCTGGTTCCACATAGTGTTTATGTATATGATAAATTTAAAAATTGATAGATTTCTAGTCGCTTTGCTGGTCATGTTTTGGGTTCAAATCCGGGACAAATATTTAACTATAAAATTTTCTTATAAAATTTCCGTGAAAAGTAAGGTTGGTGTAGATATTGTGTTCTGCGTCGTAAAGGGCCAGTCTCAAGAATCAGCGTGGGTAACATTTTTAATTAAGTACAGTCTACAAAAAACTTTTGTAACATTTTAGCAAGGACATTAATCATTAATGCCCCAAGCGTCTTTTGGTGCTGTATGTGAATTAATAAAAATTGTATGCATAACATTAATGATAATAAAAATAATAAAGGCTAATTATTTTTAAGTTTTAAGAGTGTCTGGTTCTTAAGTAGAAAGTGACAGTCCAATACAAGAAGGGTTTTGGCTCAAGTTAAATTGATTTCAAAAATAATAAACTTTCGTATAACGTTTCTACAGAGCTACACCAATACCGCTACCGATATTGTGCTTAAATTTTCAAAAAAATGGTATCGAATTTTTAAACGAAATACGAAAATACTTTTCTATCACACGGTTCCAACGCATAACCATACTATGTAGGATCCAACCAATCACGTTAGATAAGAATTAATCAGACCTTAGCTACCTTTCACTACGGACATTAAACTCAATCAAGTCAATACTTTTGCGTAAACACAAATATAAATTATTCTATTGTATTTGTACTAGGTATATTTGTAGAATTATAAATATAATTTATACCACCCACCCAAAAGACTACCGTATGGTTCGTGCAACAGTGATAATAACAGCAAA